AAAGAGAACATTAAATTCTGGCAGCGATATTTGTACAATGAGCGAGAATATCTATAGACAGTTGTTCCCAGTTGCTTTGAAAAATGTAATAAAACAATGGATAGGAATGGGAGGCAAGAAAATGGTATATCTTGTGTTCATTTAATGTTGTCACTAAGTTGGATGATGTTCCTTTGGAAATGTGTTTCCATGTAGTCCGTGACGATGATACCCTGTATGAAGGTGTGATTGGAAGTGATGATCTCGAAAAGACATTCCGTCAGATAATGTTACACCACAAATATTACACTACTCGACAAAATAGAACTTTTTTTTCTTAAGGATTCATACCTACCTTTTCTGATAGATTTATGGCATTTAGGGCATGCGGCAGATCAGCTCAGTTCGCTAAATCAGCTGGCTGGCCACCCTGAAAAAAAAAAAAAAACCAATTTTGGATCAAGCGGCCAAAAATTGTAGAACCCACACAAGCACAGCATAGCACACACACATTTACTAACCTGAAATCTCATAAAAAAATATGGTTTCGGCAGCTAAAAATTATTCTATGCATGCAATCATATATTTTGGAGCCAGAGCCGAAAACCTGGGACCGTACGCTGAAACCTCAGCTGCGCCACTTACGTTGTATGAACTGGCACATCTATATACTGTAAGTTGGTCGTTTAGCTCTAATATTCATCGAATATTAGTCTAACCCCTATCTTTCCTGCATGTTCGCTATCGAACAGAAGAAGAGACAAAAGTCGACGCCAGTGATCTCAAAGGCATGTAAACCGTCGAGCCGCTGCTTCGGAAGATACGCCATGATGTGCTCCAATATTCTATGCTTAGTTCGAAAGCATCTTACGCACTTGTTTACTGCCTTCGTTACCGTCTTCCTCCCCCCAATAGGATCGGATTAATCCAAGCAGAGCTCGAGGTCTAGAGTGCAGATTTCGTTCTTGAAAGTGAGAAATGATTGAAAAAGTAAGCGGATGACTGCTGGACGTGATGATGGGATGACGGCTATCAAAACCCAACGACGAGTTCTCCAGACCGCCATCAACTCTGAGAAGTTCGAAATGATCAATGATAGGATTCAATGATACGAGTGAACTAGATGAGGAGACCACCTCCTTAGAACGCAGTGTCTTCATGTCAGCTCCAATAACTGAGTTCCATGTTCAATGTCAGATATAGTGCCGGGTGCCGAGTCCGGTTGACAAATTTGTGAGTTAATAGCCAAAAACGCTTTGTAGGGAAGCAAAAGAGTTCGCATACTTAGAATCAGATACAATATCTACGTAGGGAGATTTTACTAGGAGAACCTTCCGACGAAGCTCCAGGGTTGGCTTAACAGGTAGCACCGTGGGTGGCCAGTCATCAGAGGATCCGCAAAGAAGTTCATGAGCCCAAAGGCTCAACTCGCTCAACTCTACTGGAAGAACCCCTAGCGAGAAAATGTCGGCCGGGATCAAAGCTATGAAAACATAATGCCATTCCATTTGGGCAGTAAGTTCCTGTATCGTTGCCACTCTATTTGCGACAAATACGTTGAATCTGGACGGCTCGTCCCGAATCCAAGAGAGCGCAACAGCCGAATCACACCAACAGTAACACTTCCCTTTGAATACCTTCATTCCGGCTATCTCAGAGATGAGCCTAGCTAGCAACTCCGCTCCACAAAGCTCCAGCTTTGGTACAGTAAGTGTTTTCAATTGAGCAACACGAGATTTTGCACATAGTAAGTGACTGCTGAACCGCTGACCCTTCGACGCAACATAAATGCAGGCACCAAAATCTTTTATGCTGGCGTCGCAAGATCCGTGAATTTCTAGCTCAAAATTCGGAATAAGTACGAACCGACGAAATTCATAGCGTCAAATCCTGCCAAAACTGCTACTTATTTCCTGGCACGCGGTGTTCAGTGCTGATGGCAAGCTTTCATCCCAGGACAACTTTTCCTTGTACAACTGCTGGAGGAAGATTTTGGCCTTTGTAAGGACAGCTAGTCCAAGGGGGTCGTAGAACCGCGCTATTGTTGACAAGCCTGCTGGGATGAGGAAGAATGTAGGGCCGAAAAGAAGAATAAAAGTTGATCAGACACCGGATTCCAGGCAAGTCCTAATGTTTTGGTAAAATCGCTGCCATCGTCGAACTTCAGATAAGTTTCCTTGTCCTCCTCAGGAACCCTATCGAGGACAGCAGGGACGTTCGAACACGATTTCCTTAGTCGGAACTGGCCTCTAGACAAAATTCCGGTAGTTTGCTCACGAATGCAGATAGCCTCCTCCTGAGAGTTGGCTCCAGATATCAGGTCATCAAAGTAGAAGTCACGGCGAAGAATCTCAACCCCAATAGCAAACGCTATCTGTTCATCCATTGCCAGCTGATGCATCGCCCGCACAGATAAATACGAGGCAGGCTTCGTCCCATAAGTAACGGTGTCCAGCTTAAACACACGCAACATGCATAGAATTCCTCCAAAGAATACACTGCAAGTTCTATCGTCGGGTGAGACCCTTACACATCGGTACATCTTGCAAATATCTCCCGTAATCGTAACTGCATATGACCGAAATCGAGTAAGATATCGAAAAGCTTGGGTTGGATTACAGACCGGACATTAAAACTTCGTTCAGGGAATAACCAGATGAAGTTTCTGCGGATCCATCGAATTCCTTTGTGACGAGAATGGTGAGGCAAAATGTATAGGCAGCAGCTGAGTGACTCGGCAGGAACCAAAGACATATAATCTAGATTAAGGTACTCGTTTATGAAAGCAGCATTTCACATCAGGACGGCGATCTAACTTCCGTTCAAGGGATAAGAATTTACAAGAGCTTGATGGTACGATTCTTCCCAAGAGACCCAGATTATATTTTGCTGGCAGTCGAACACAACAATCGCCGATTTGCCATCGTCGGAAATGCTGAACAAAGTGAGCTTCACAATCTAGCTCTTCTTTTGTAGATTTTTTTATAGGTTCAGTGCAATTCTCTACCTCCCAAAACCGTCGCAGTTCTACCTCATGTCTCTCGTCTGGGTTATCCTCCGCAGCTACGGCCGGGGCGCGCGAAACCAGTAAAAAGGACCCCTCCTTTACCCGGGAACAACCTTCAGAAATGACCATCCCAAGCGAGTCTTCTGAATTGATGGCAATCCTGGCAATAGCTTGACCTGGCCAACACAGAGGAGTTCGTAAAACAAGCTGGCGCCAATTAGAAGATCGACACGCTGCGGTCTATAAAACTCTGGATCAGCTCGTGGCAGGTTTGCTGGAAAATTCCAGTTGCAAGAGTCTATTCCGAAGCTTGGCTGCCGGTCGGTTATGCTAGACAGCGGTGACAGCGACAGCGGTGACTACGACAGCGGTGATGATAGTTGAGTATTCCGATGAAAGAGAGTGCAGGCTAACGTTGACCGAAACTCCATCCATGACAAAGGTAGAATCGCCTATTCCTGATACTAAAGTCGATGATTTCCGAAGCTGAAGCTGATTTGCGAAGCGAGAAGTAATAAGTGTAGTTGAGAGCCGGCAATTTACGCATAGGGAAAACCTCTTGGCTTCTTTATGGCGATTTGCGGGAGACAGTGCTATAAACTTGGGACAATGATTGATTTCGTGAGCGCTGTCATTGCACAGCACGCAGCTTGATATGTTTTAGTTAATGGCAAAAGTGTGGGTTTAGAATGGTAAGGTTTTCTACTCCTGCCCACCTGACTACTCGGCGCATAGGTTGCCATAGCGAAATCCACTGTTTCCAACGTCCTGCATCGCTGCTCCCGAAAAGGAGGCCATAGACTCCTATGACGGAATCAGGTTGTCGAAGGCTGTGTCCTCTCAACGTTCCTCCCACATGTCTTGAGTCGCTGGATCAAGTTTACGAAGCCCCTGCACAATGATGCATCCTGCGATCTGCTCAGGAGTGCCCAAGACCTGCAGCGCCCCAATATGACCGTGGAACTTGTCAGGAAATCTCCCGCAGCCTGTAGCCCTCGGATCTCAGTAATGTGCATACCTCTTTTCCAATAAATAAATAAATAAATAAAAATGTTTGGGTAAATATACATTAAAAAAAAATTTAATTCGTCGGTTTTTTATACCCGTACTCAAAAAAAAGTTAAGGGGTATATTAGATTTGTGGTAAAAGTGGATGTGTGTAACGCAGAGAAGGAAAAGTTAGCCGAGTCGATAAAGCCATGTCTGTCTGTCCGTCCGTCCGTCGTCCGTCCGCATATTGATAATAAGGTATTTTTATATTTTTTTTGTAGTTACTGTTAAAAAATTAAAGATTGGTGGAAATCAAGAAGTTCAGCTGAGGTTGATATATTTAGTTAACTGTTTACAAAAACTTGTGCAGGTTTTTTACTTCCAATAACTGATTAATGACGATATGAATGTTATCAATATATATGCAATAGATTTCACCAATTATAATTGAATAATTATCCAACTCATTCGATAAAAATTTTTTTTTAAATTTTCTTGATACAATTTTTTGGTAAAATTCGGTAGAAACCTCTAAAAAATAAAATAAAAATAAAATTAAAACATGTAAATTACTATGAAATCCAAGGTAACAAAACTAGGGGGTGTCCCGTTTGAATTTCCAAAAAAAAGTTTTTTGGCCCAGCCTAATATACTTATATTCTTGATCAGAATCAAGTCGATATAGCCATGTCTGATTGTTCGTCCCGATGAGCGCCTAGATCTCAGAGACATACCTATGGTATGTCTAATCATGCTGATCTAGAATTTGTATATCTTATATGGTCATAGATTCTTCCTAATGTGCTTAAGAAACGCCTCCATTTTAAATTCTAGAGGGGTATATTGATCAACATCAAAAGGGATTAACTTGAACTTAACTTAACTTCAGTTGCGATTTATATATTAATATTTTATATGTATAGCAATCTCTTCCATTTATTTTAACGACGAATAACTTTATGAACCTAATTTCCGAATCATGTTTATAATGTTATTTTTGTTTTGTTTTTTCTTTTAATTACAGAGGAAAGAGGCAGAGTTGCTTAAAACTTTTTTGCCACAAAAATTTGAGTATGTTTTATTTATTCCGATGACGTCTATTCAGGTGCGTAAATACTTCTTCATATTCAATTTACTTACAAGATCTGTCAGTAAAATTAAAAACCTTTTGATCGTTTCCATGATAGCTGTTTGATGATTGGTTTCATGATTGTAGCTGCAATTGAAACTGTAAAGCGTATTCAGGAAGGCCAAGTTAATTAAAAAAACTTTGCATATGCTATTTTTATATCAAGTAACAGGCTCTTACTAACGTCATGAAATTATTTTACCCCTACGCACCACCGCGGTGGTGCACCGTATGTATTTTATTCCTTAGGGCTTTATTTAACCGAAATCGGCAATTGCCGATTTTTGCACAATTCCAAACAACGTATTCTTAGGAAAGGTTGAACGTCATTTTCAGCACCGTGTTAAATGAGAGCTCACTGCTCTATAATATTCGACTAGTTAAGCCTGTGTTTTAGCAGATCCTAACGGAGTTCCCGACCGTGTACTCATGTACTGTACCAAGTGTCTGTGTGGGCCCCTGCTAAAACTATTCACCCTTTTCATTAATTTTTTAATTTTTATTTTTATTATTCCTCTCCATAAGAAAGGTAGCAAGTCTGACGCAAAGAATTATAGATGTATATCTAAGTTATCCGCCAATCCTAAAATGTTTGAACAAATTTTAACTCCGCAATAGCAACATCTCTGCAAATAACTTGTATCTCCAGCTCAGCACGGATTTATAAGGCGACGATCCACAACCACAAATGTATAAGAGTTCACCTCTTTTATCATTAAAGGCTTCTAGAGTAACTTGCAGACGGATGTTATTTACACCGATATCAGTAAAGCTGTCGACTCTGTAAACCACTCTTCCAGCACAAAAACTTAACCTGTTAGGGTTTCCACCCAATTTTTGAGATGGATTTCAAGCTACCTTTGTTCTATGTCTCTGTTTGCCTAGATCCAAGCTAATATAAAGTTGATTCCATGTTTCGGAACCAGCAACAAAGACGGCAGAAACGGAGCGGATTGGGTTGAGTATAGTATTCAACTGATTTCATGTATTTTCAATGGGCTTCATGGGACTATAAGCATTAGACCTTTTCCCCATGCAGCGGTACAGAGTACAAGAATAGAGCGCAAGAGAGAGAGAGAGAGCGATTTTAATTATTATCATTTACTGTGCTTAACTTAATTCATTAGAACTAACATTAAAGTCTACCTAAGTGACTGTACATCGGCCACATTGAAGGAATCCTGACCTTAACTCAGTTTATAGGGAGCGGAGCTAATCGAAGGATTGCTCGTTTAGAAATTCCATTTTTTGTTTTGATCTCAGCAACTAGCACTTTTTCATCTGATCCTGGGAAGAGCTTAGTAACGACGCCAAGCTGCTACGATTAAGACGGAATGTTGTCTTATCACGACGGTACCTTCCTCTAGGTTTTGTTGATGTTTGGTCCACTTCTGCTTCTGCCGAAGACTGAGCAGGTATTCTCTCGACCAGCTGGTCCAGGATTGAGTGTCGATCGGGTTGGTGGTAATGGCCTGGTGTTCGATATGCCTCATACTTCCACGCCAACAAATTCCTTGGCGAGGTCCTGAAGTTCTCGGACTGCACCGACAAAGTTCGTGGCATTGTCGCTTTATAGTCGAGCAACGGGCCGTCGAACTCCTATAAACCTGGAGAGACACATTATAAACGATTTATAATTCAAATCTGTGACAACCTCCAAATTAACAGCTTTGGTGACAAAACACACAAAAACTGCAATGTAAATATTCACTATCGGCTTGGCGCGCAATTTAGGCGAAACCTTAATCAGATCACACAAGTCTACTCCACTGACTTTAAATGGACATCGTCCATTTAGTCGATCAGTGGGTAGATTTCCCATGACTTGTTTTTTTAGACTTTTTTCATCCCCGGACAGTTTAAAATGAGGGTTGTGAGGCCATAGTTCTATATTTTTCCTTAGGAATGCTGGGCCATCAAACCAAAAAAACACAGTCAACTCGGTTACTGGGCCTCCATCAAACAAAAAAACACAGTCAACTCGGTTATTGGGCCTCCTCGAGACACTAGGTTTGCCGGATTTTTACACCCGTACTCAAAAAAGAGTTAAGGGGTATATTAGATTTGTGGTAAAAGTGGATGTGTGTAACGCAGAGAAGGGAACGTTTCCGACCCCATAAAGTATATATATTCTTGATCAGCATCAATAGCCGAGTCGATATAGCCATGTCTGTCCGTCTGTCTGTCTGTCTGTCTGTCTGTCCGTCTTGTTGGATCTCAGAGACTATAAGAGTTAGGGTAACCAAATTTGGTTTCCAGACTCATGTGATATCACACTGCTACAAGTGTATTTCAAAATTTCGCCCCGTCCCCTTCCGCCCCCACAAAGGACGAAAATCTGTGGCAGGCACAATTTTAAAGATACGATAAAACTAAAAACGCAGTATCGTAAGGAATTCCCATATTTACCAGATTGCCAAATCTGAATCCGATCGGATCATATTTTATAGCCAGAATGAATAAATTAATTTTCAGTTGCTTCCCCTGCCCTCGACCAAGCAACTCATTCTCTTTCTAGCTCGCACACTCTGCTGCGTTCAGTGCGCGAACAACCCCTATCGGAGGAGATGTAGAATATGAATGGTACATCTATAATCTACATGTTAGATGTAAAATATACATTGTAGATGTAGATAAGAGATGTAGCAAAAAAATGTAATATGTACAATTTTTTTTTTAATTTTAAAATTCTAAGAAATCATAAGCTCAAAAATGTATATACTGACTGAGTACGGGTATAAATAGAGTCAAAGATATTTTCCCACGGTGCCACTTTGAGTTTGCGTATTTTTTGTTCACCGGCTTGCATTTCAAGCCTTTGGAAGAACTGACCTAAATCAAATGTTCCATAAGTATACAAATCGCTAATCTCATATCTTGCTGTAATTCATATACGTTGGGCTTTGAAGCATTTTCTAGAGATTTCCTAGGCAATTCTATCTGTTCTTTTCCTGCGCAGGATTTCTGTCTACTTGTCTGTTTTGTAGTGACTTTTAATATGGTTGCTGACATATTCTTTAATTCTTTGATGGTTATTCTTGATAACGCATCTGCTACATAATTATCTTTTCCCTTTAGATATTCCACTGTGAAGTCATATTCTTCTAATTCAAGCCACGTGCGTGTAAGTTTTGAGCTAGGATTGACCATTGAAAATAGATATGTTAATGGTCTGTGTTCTGTTTTCACTGTAAAGTGTCTGCCATATATATATGGTCGAAAATGAGTAATTGCCCAATGAATTGCTGCTAATACCTGTTCAGTTGTTGTCTGGTTACTTTCGCCCTTGGTAAATGATCTGGATGCGTATGCAATAGGAAGTTGGAGGTCTTTATGGTTTTGAGTTAAAATCGCTCCACACGCTTGCTTACTTGTATACGTTATTATACAAAATTCTTTTGTGAAGTCTGGGTATTGTAACAGAGTTGGTTTGATAAGTTGCTCCTTTAAATGTAAGAATGCATTTTAGCAATCATCTGTCCATATAAATGGAACATTCTTTTAACATAATCTAGTTATGTGCCGTGAATAGTCGGCGAAGTTTTAGATAAAACGTCTTCAACAATTGCAAAATGCAACGAATCGTCTAGCGCTGTCCGCATCATGAGGGACTGGATAGTTTTTGATGACGTCATATTTTTTGTCATCAGGCAAGATTCCTTTATCTGTGCACCGGGTAAATGTAAGGTGATTTTGACACCCGGTGTTTCTAACCACCGGACAACTGAGTGTACAATACAATAATGCATGAGTGTTTGGACACACAAGTAACAAAAGTGAATATGTAGCTGTGTGCATGAGTGTGTGTGGCATTCGTTGACACATCGGAGTCGAAAGAAGGATGGGGTGAAAAGGGAAGCACAAAAATTGAGGCACAAAATGTATAGAGTGTTTTGGGTGTTAGGTGTTTTTTTTGCAAGCCTTCGCTTTGTTGCTTTTTTAGTACCTGCTGCTGGAAAAACGTCGCTTAGTCGAAATATAAAAATTTCGACAAGCACGAAGAATTAACTTTATTCTCCAAGATGAAAACATAATACAAAATAATATTCTGCTCAAGAAATTATAATTTATTCATCCATTCAACAAATTAAAGAATATATAAAAATTAATCAATACTTAACATAAAAATCAAATCAAATTGTACTGCTTCAGTGTATTAAACATAGTTAAATAATATTTTTGTGCTTCAGTGCATTTAATTAAATGAAATTATAGTTTAAAATTTTTATAATATGAATGTAGAAAAAGCAAATTGCCTACGGTTTTCGGCCCTAATCTATTTCTTTTTTCAGTTATAATATTGCCCGCTAAAGAAAAGACCCTTTCAGCTGCTGCACTGATGGATGGTATTGTAAGCATTTGCAATGCTAATTTTGACAAATGAGGATAGCAATTTTCTTTGCTTTTCCACCACTCAATTGGTTCGAAGTCCTCGCTCAAAGCTACTTTCTCAGTACAATAATTTTCTATTTCTTCTAAGGGCGATTTAAAATTTTTGTTTGAATGAGTTCCAGTTCCAGTTCGGAAAAGAAAAATGTAGTTTTCGGCACAAACGTTTGGCTGATAGATTTCGGTGACATTTGACCAATTGGGTTTGCAGGACTTGATTCAGTACTGAAAGTTTCGTTTGAATAGAAACTAAATTTATCCATTTTATCACTACAGAACATTTTTATTTCCATTATATCCTCATGTTCCATGCTTGCTGCAGGTGGGTATAAGAAAAAGTCTGCTTTGTGCCAAATACTTAAATTTTTTTTCCAAATCGTGTTCACATTAATTACTATTTTTTCTTTAAGAACCGACATTGACGAAATGTCTTCAGAATTCGGTTCGCATAGTTTCAGAATTTTGGCAATCGAGGGCAATACAAAGCATAATGACGTTTGCACGTTTGCAATTCTTTGAAAATTCTCTCGAAATCTTGAAGAAGCATTAGTATTATTTTTAGAGTCGATATGTTTACGATTATGAGTCTTTGACCGCTCTCAGTCTCACTTAATATATGATTAACTGTTGTCCAGTTATTCACTATAGAATTGAGCATAGTATAATTGGAATTCCATCGAGTAGGGCATGAGTTTTTTAATGTTGTGTTAAGTCTATGCTGCAAACTTGCCTTCTTAAAATATTTAACGATTTTTGTGCATACGTGTAATATTTCTTGAAGCTCAAATGATTCGTCAAAGGATTTTTCTAACACATTTAATATAAATGGCTGCTGCAATTTAATCGAATATTCTTGTCCAATGCTTTTTATACCCGTACTCAAAAAAGAGTTAAGGGGTATATTAGATTTGTGGTAAAAGTGGATGTGTGCAACGCAGAGAAGGAAACGTTTCCGACCCCATAAAGTATATATATTCTTGATCAGCATCAATAGCCGAGTCGATATAGCCATGTCCGTCTGTCCGTCCGTCCGTCCGTCTGTCCGTCTTGATGAGCGCCTAGATCTGAGAGACTATAAGAGCTAGAGAAACCAAATTTGGTTTCCAGCCTCATGTGATATCACACTGCTACAAGTGTATTTCAAAATTTCGCCCCGCCCCCTTCCGCCCCCACAAAGGACGAAAATCTGTGGCAGGCACATTTTTAAAGATACGATAAAACTAAAAACGCAGTATCGTAGAAAATGCCCATATCTACCGGATTGCCGAATCTGAACTAGATCGGATTATAATTATAGCCAGAATGAAGAAATTAATTTTCTGTTGGTTCCCACTCCTTCTCCAGCGTTGCTGACGCTACTGATTCTCTTTCTCGCTCGCACACTCTGCCGCGTTCAGTGCGCGAGCAACCCCTAGCGGAGGAGATGTAGAATCTAAATGGAACATGTACAATCTACATGTTAGATGTAGAATAGACATTGTATATGTAGATGTAGATAGCAGATGTAGCAAAAAAATGTAAAATGTAAAATTTTTTTTTTTTAAATTCTAAAATTCTAAAAAATCATATGCTCTTAAATGTATATACTGACTGAGTACGGGTATAAGTAGAGTCGCGTCCCCAGAAGCGACTCGCACGTTCCTTCTCGTTTTATATTGGCTCCCCTATCTGTCACGAATTTAATATCTGCTATATTTTCGACATCAAATTGTGCAAAAATGGTTTTCATTTTATTTAGAATATTTTCAGTCCACATATCAACGGCTGCCGATACTCCACCATTATCCACTTTTATTTCATTGGAGGATATCGCCCGCTTTTCTTCTGCATCTTTTTCCGCATTTCGGCTCAATGTCGTTGCGTCGGGTCGTCAATATCAACGTTCGCTCCATACGTAGCACCAATTTGTACAACAAATTTCACCAGGTTCCGAAATCCAGTCCCGCTTACCGCAGAAAACGGGCGACAATCCTGCACAACCCACTCACTGCACTTCTCTGTAGCTGTTTTTTTGTCCAAGTTAGAAACTTTTTTTTCTTCCTCCGGCTGTCGTAAAGACAGACAGCATTTGTGACGGGACAAATTTGAAGTTTGGTGACAAACAAATTTGAGCACTTTTCCGCATGTATTGCAATAAACCCAGCCTTTTAGCACAGTTTAGTCCTCTTGTAATATGTCACATAATATTGTCCAAATTATACTTTTGCATTTGTGTATTGGAGCTATGGTATATACACCACGCTCAATTTCCTTTTTAATTGTTTCTGGAGTCATTTCTTCAAAAACAGCGGAAGCTGGCAAAATCAAAGTAGCAATGAACTTGAATACCTACAAGCGACCAAGTGAAAAGCAAAACGGCCGAAAATTACACATAAGTACACACACAGGCACCATGGTGTGTAGAAAACAAACAGGTGATACATAGGTTGCACGTGCAATGTATATAGCCT